TTATAAAACTAACTATTTATGAGGCATTTCTGGATTTTTTTCTGGCTAGCATTCTTCGTTGATTTTTAATTGAAATTCAAAGTGCAAATGGGAGACTAATCTCCCAGTTTAAGCTTCTAGGGTTAAACTGGACAAACTAAAGGTTAAAAACAAATCAATCTCACCTGGGCAGTCTGTCGCAATGCATCCATAGACACCCAGATCACGCAACAAAACCACGCCGGATTGGTTCCCATAAATGGATGATATTGTGGTATTTTAGACACGGCCAGTGCTCCAGCATCACTATAGCTTACATTGTAGCATGGATCATCTTGCATATTTGATATTCGATATTGTTTGGATAGCCAAATCGTGGTTCCAGCTGATTCATAGTAATGGCAATGGTTTACCAAGAGCAATACAGCTAGGACAAATATTTTAACAAACATTTTTTGAAGTTACTAATACTTGACTAGTAATTTAACTGTATTTATTATAGAGTTTATGCTACCTTATATATGTTATAAAGTATTGTATCATATAGGTTAATTAATAATCGGGTAATAACAAATTGGAAAAATATTTAGTTTTGTTTGGTTTGTGCAATTAATTTAAAGTGACAAGTGCGTACACTGTTCAAATGCCATCAATATTTTATGTGCACTTTATAATGCTTTTAGCATAATAGACCATTAATATAATAAATTATATGGCTAAGTTTAATATTATATTTAGTTATATAATTTGATTATTTTGTCGTACGTATATCCTAGTTAAGAATTTAGTTGTTCATAATTTCAAATATAATAAATTAACTTGATTAAATTATACTATCATAATCCACTACAGTAGGAACCGGCAGGACTTTTATTTCTAATGAATGATGATACACTATTGCAGTTACTATTAAACTAATCATAACTGCCCTCTCAATATAATTGAATGGTTTTTAAGTGTAAATCATTTGTGTTTAAAATAAATATGAATAACAAATTTCATTAAACCCTACCACTCATATAACTGCACATTATATATGACTAAAATACTATTTATGAGCACAGATGAGAGCATAGCCGATTGATACACTACAGTATTATTATAGATTTGTAGTGTAGTATTTGAAGTAATATTGATTGTAAAGTTATATTTTACAAGTTTACTAAATTATATCAAGTTTGATTGTTGCGTTTAAACAGAATTTTATTATTTATTAATTATGATTTGATTATTAAAATAATTTAAATAAAATAAAATTAAAACAATTGTCAATAATAAATCTTATAAACAATAACAGTTATAGTAATTGTTATATGATTTGGATTGATAGTAGATTATATTTAGTCTTATATTACATTAATGTCAGTTAAACACATGATTTAATGAACCAAGATACATAAAGTGCTAATACAGTAACAATATACTAATCGTCAATTAGTAATTGATAATGAAATAATCAATAAATAAAAATAATAAGTAAAAATACATTATCTATACTTAATTAAACATATATTAACATTAACATAAGCATTTAAATAATCAATTAAATTGTAATTTTAATTAAATGATGTCATAAATAAAATAAACTTTTTTAAAAAAAGTTCAATAGGAATGTTTATTTGAGAGAAATAATAATAATTTAATTTACAAATTTTTTATTCTGTTAAGAAAATGTATTATTCTTTGAATTATTAAATCTGTATTATATTTATCACATTTATCATTATTTAATTATAAAACAAAAGTGGTAATCTTATAATTATCACATACGTTTGAATGTATATAATAATAGCATTATATTGAATAAAATTTAAATTTATTTTATATGATATTTCAAAGCAATTTGTATCATGATGATTAAAGACATAATAATTCATTTCAAAATTACAAAATTTATAGTGTTAACAACTTTATAAATCACCGTTTTACATATTAAATTTTAATAATTAACTTTATTTAGTCCTATTGCCAGTATGGGGCGCATCTGGGAATGTCCTTGGTGTATTGATAATCCTTACAGTGACCATCATTTTGCTTATCAATAAATTGCTTTATTTGTGGTTCCAATGCTTTAATGTCATTAACCGAACAGTGAGTCTAAATATTTAAAATAAATATTGTATTTAAAAATAAAACAAACAATACATTAAAAATACAAATGGCCAATTTAATGCTTACAAGCGTACAGTGGGTCTAAAAATTTTAAATCAAAATATTTTAAAATTTAACATATAATATATTAATAATACAAAAGCGCATGTTTAAGGCAACCAGCTATACATGTAACAATATTTTTGCGCTTTAAAATACTCAGATTTAAACAAAATGTAATTTTTGGAATTCTTAATATACATACTGTATTAATTTAAACTGAACAAATTAAAGATTAAAAATAAATCAAACCTGTGCAGTCTGTCGCAATGCATCCATAGACACCCAGATCACGCAACAAGCCCACGCCCGGTTAGTGCCAGCCCATGGTGTGTACCCGGGTATTTTAGACACGGCCAAATTTCCAGCATCATTATAGCTTACATTGTAGCATGGATCATCTTGCATATTTGAATCCCAAATTCGACCGTAATTATCGTTATGATCGTAAGACCGTAGCCAAACCGTAGTTAGGCAATGGCAATGGTTTACGAAGAGCAATACGGCTAGGACAAATATTTTAGCAAACATTTTTTTGTGTAATTACTAATACTTGGTTAGTGATTTAACTGTATTTATTATAAGGTTTCTGCTACCTTATATATGTTATTGTTGTATCAATATTTGTAGTCATTTCAATAAAATAGTGTATCGTGCACATTTGAATACTCTTAGTAATTAATAACCAAGTAAAAACATTGTTATAAAATATTTAGTTTTTATGCAATTAATCTTAATCGACAAGTGCGTACATTGTTCAAATACCAACAATATTTTCTATGCGCTTCATTATGATTTTGAATAATAAATCATTAATACAACACATTACCTGGCTATATTTACTATATTATTTTGTAACATAATTTAATTATTTTGTTGTCCATGTACCCTGGTTCAAAATTTGGTTGTTCACATTTTGAAATATAGTAAATAAGTAAATAATAAATCAATTTGATTATGTCATACTATCATAATATAATATTCATACAATATAATTTTAATTTTTATTGTTTGTAAAGAGATAAGCGAAATTATATTTTTCAAATTTAGTAAATTACTTTTTGTTTTTACACTTAAACAGCAATTTTACAATTTAATATTTATTCATAATTTTTTAATTATTAAATTAATTAAATTTAAATTAAATAAAATGAGCATACTTGTTAATAATAACACTTATGATATTTGTTACATTAAAAGTTATAATATTTGTTACACAATTTGTTACATTTATTGTAGTGATAATGAATTATATTTAGTTTTAAATTATTTAGATAATTACATTAATAACACATTATTTGATAAACTAAAATACATACAGCGCTAATACAGTAACAATAAATTAATTGATAATAAAATAATCAATAAACTTAATAAATGAAAATATTATTTACTTGATACTGTCATCTTGATGAGAAAAATAAATTGTATATAAAGCAAGACTAAACAATGTAATTACTTAACAAAGTAAATCATGTCAAACATTATATTTTCCCTAACTTTAGTTCTGGTGGCAGTCATCTGTGCCAACTGTGCACCTGTCGATAATGGCAATGAACTGAACAAGCTCATTTCCAAGATTCCCGGTCCGATTCAAGATCTAATTAGTGACCCATGTTTATTAAGGAAGGACGCGCCCGCACACAATTGTATGCGTGGTAAAATACCCGATTACGATCCCACTATTACCCAGCCCAATTATGTCTGTTGTATGCATTGGCTAGTTTTGGATTGTTTGAAGGTAGTTTCTAAGGTTAGTATCAATACATTATTTATATTTATATAATATGTTATGCTTAATGACCAGGCCATTCCAAAATAGAGAGGGGCTTTTATTATTTGAACGTGGTTAATGTTTGACCTTGGTAATTTTTATATATTACTCACTATAAATGTGAATAGTGTATGAATAATGTGCACTATTTTTTATAAATTGGCCCTACGTTGGCCCATTGGAATGCTGTGTTAATGACATAAACATTAGGTTAAATTATGCATAGTTATAATAATAAATAAATATTCTAAAAATTTAGGGATTTAGTTATTTATGTTCTAAAATGTAATGTTCTAATAATGTTTAATTGTAATAGTTTTAATTAATATAATTTTGATAATTAATGTATTTTTTGAATAAATCAGACCAATTGTACAATTGATGAACAAAGTGTTCTTGGTGGTAAAGAGGATCGGGCAGTGACTTACATGAATGAAAATATGTGTAAAACATTTCAATACACCCCGGGTATACCAACTTGTCACAAATAACTGTTTAAATATTTATTGGTCGCTATAATTTTGCCGCACATTTCAATAAATTTTTAAAGTAAAAATATGCAGTTTATTTTAAATGTAATAGATGACATTTATTTGAAAATATAACAAATGCAATTAGTATAGATATAATTTATTACTATTTATGTATTTTACTTTACAGTATATTCTAATAAAATAAAAATTTATATTATAATAAAATAAGTACAAATAAAACAATGTTTAATTTATAACAATATAAATATAATTATAAAACAATTAATTAAAAATTTTTACATTGATAATTTATGAATGTTCAATTTGATGAAACAGGTTCATATTCATATCTTATAAATTACTTAAATGTTAAATATAAATATTGAACTCGACTATAATATGTAAGGTATGACATATCTCATAAAATTCATTTTCTGTTTATATTCCCAACGTTGTTGTTTTTCCATTATTCCCATTTTCCCAATAACTTAAATCCTTGGGAATAATGTATTAAAAGTGTGTTATATAATATAACTTATATTATAATTTATAAACTTTAAAATAAAAGACTTTTATTGTAATCAATGGCTGAAATCTAGTAGTAAATAACTTAAAGGTAAATTATTTGTAATAATAACTCACGTAGATTATAACATTTTTTGACAATATATTGATAAAAATTGAAATACAAAATAAACAGATAATGATTCTGAAGTGTTTTCTGCGTGATAAAACAACTGCCAATAAGCTAATGTTAGAATGTAAGATTAAACAATCAATATATCCAATATCCTAAATAATAACACATATATAAATCAGCAACACATGCGCTTTATTCAGTTTGAAACGTAAGTTGAAACTATTATATTCAATGTCGAAATTATTTGTCCTAGCTGTATTGTTGGTGGTGGCTCATAGCGCCTACAATACACAGTTTCCGAGCAAGTTCCTGGCTGAAGGAACCAAGGATGTTATTGCTGATTTGACTAAAGATTTGCATAATGATCCGTGTTTTAATAAAATTTACACGGATGTCATATCATGCTTTAAAAACAAAGTACCCAATTACAACCCGAAAGAAACTGATCCCAAGTACACTTGTTGTGTCATATGGAACGAGATCGATTGCATAGCAGCATCTGCAAAAGTTAGTGATATAATTAAATGCTCTGTTGAATAATCATGATAATGTAAGTAATTATTTAAATTCGAATACAATTAGATGCCAACATGCTTAGGCATTGAGATGTTAGCATTGACAACTATAGAGACAAAATTGGAGGCGGCTTTGGAGGCAACCGGAAAAGCGTGTGAAAAGCATAAATTCGCCTCTGATCATGCCAAGTGCCCAATGGAATAGCTATAATTAATTAATATTTACATTGTATGTAGCAATTATTTTATTGGAAGCATAATAAATACTACAAGTATTACTACTCGCGTGAATAAACTTATTGCTAAATATAGTATAATAGACCAATGATATGATACAATAAATTATCTGGCTAGGTTTAATATATTATTTGCTAATATAACCTTAATTTAATTATATTTTTGTACGTATATCTTAGTTTAGAATTTAGTTGTTCATAATTAAAAATATAATAAATACCTATAATGTATAGTAAATTAACTTATTTGTAATATATTATTGTAATTCATTACAGAAGTATTATTTTGTAATGTATCATTTAAATTAGTGATGGGCGTCCCCCTAGCGGCGTTCAATTAAAATTTATTATTTAATTTTCATATAGTGTACTGTATAAATTATATATCGATTAGGCATAATATATGAAACTGAACAAGGTTATTGAAAATGAAACGCGTTCCAGAGAGAATGGCAATAAATTAACCAAGCTCATTTCCAAGATTCCCGGCCCAATTCAAGATCTAATTAGTGATCCATGTTTACTACGGAACAATGTACCCGCACATAATTGTATGCGTGGTAAAATACCCGATTACGATCCGACAATCACCCAGCCCAATTATGTCTGTTGTATGCATTGGCTGGTTCTGGATTGTTTGAAAGTAGTTTCTAAGGTTAGTACATGATTTATATTTATATGTTATGTTAAATGACATAAACATTAGGCTAAATTATGCATAGTTATATTATTCTAAATAAATATTCTAGTTTAGGAATTTATTTATTAATGTTCTAAGATGTAATGTTCTATTAATGTTCTATTGTAATAATTGTAATTTATAATTTTTTGAGAATTTATGTATTTTTTGAATATATTAGACCGACTGTACAATTAATGAACAAAGTGTTTTTTGTGGTAAAGAGGATCGGGCAGTGGCCTAATATTACATGAATGTAAATAAAGTGTAAAACATTTCAATACACATCTGGCATACCAACTTGTCACAAATAACTGCTAAGGCATTTATTGATAGCTATGTTTTACATAATATTTAAATAAATCTATAACTAATAATTAAAAATATTACCATCTTAAAATAACATTTAAATACAGGGTGGGCGGAAAGTACGTCTTATTTTAAAAGGCTCATAACTCTTAAATTACAAGAGATATTTTAATCAAATTTTTTGCAAAAAATACACAAAAGTATAGGATGATTGAATCAAGTTTTGAAAATAGTGGCCATCCATAGCGATCACGTGGCGGACTCAAATTTCCAAATTGTCTATTTTATAGCATATTTTAGAGGTCGCAATTACGAGAAATGAAAACACGTTGAATATATATCACATACATTCCCTTAGATAGTTGTGCAAATTTTATTTCATTTTTAATTATTATTTTACAAATGGCACGGCTTTGAAAAAAAACTTGTCAAAAATGTCTTTTTTGAAAATTGCGCCATTTGTAAACTAATAGTATAAAATGAAAACAAATGCGCAATTATTTGAGTGAATGTATGAGATGCGTGCTCAACGTGTGTTAATGAATCCTAATGGCCACTTCTAAATATGACATGATTACAGGTGCGGTGGTCAATTTTGAAATTTGACTCCGCCACGTAATCGCTACGGATGGCCAACATTTTTAAATCCTGATTCAATCATCCTATACTTTTGTGTATTTTTTGCAAAAAAGTTGATTAAAATATCTCTTGTAGTTTAAGAGTTATTAGTATTTTAAAATAAGACATACTTTCCGCCCACCCTGTACATTATAAATTATAACATTATAAATACATATTATACATTAAACATTACATTTAAATAGCATTTGAATAGTAAAATAAAAGTTTGTTTATTTAGTAAAACAACAATATTAAAATTCATGGTCATTTGAATGCATTGAAATTCAATTATATACTAATTACTCATTTCATATCTAATACAAACATATTTGCGATTGAAATGCCATTTAATATACCATTAGATTCATAACTCTTTTCGCTTAAATTATCATTTGATTTGTGAAATGAAATGCATTTTAAATCTCAATTGAAACACAAGTTTGACTTTAATGTGAGAATTTTTGGGTGATTTATAAATCTATACACAAAATAACTTTTGGTTAATTTGTTTGAAGTTTAAAAGGATTTTTTAAAACAAAATAATACTACACTTTGCCTACTATTTAAAGGTTTGTATTTAAAATCTAATATAATATACTAAAATAATCCCATAAAAGTGACGTATGCATTCCATAACATAAAATAACATTTATTGTTTTCATAAATTGTTTTCATTGTTTTCATTTAAATTAATATAGTTGTTTATATAACGCATAATTTACTATTAATAATGAAAGGTATAATAAATATAAATCAGATCAATCGATAAAAAATGACAAATGCATACCATGTTTGTTAAAATAACATTCATTGTAACAAAATATTAAAATTCATAAAGTTAAAGCATTATTTGATAATTTTTGATACAGTAATAATTGTTATAAGTTTTAATAATCATTTCAAACAAAATAAAATTGTTTTAAACATATTTTATGCAAATATTTAAATATAATTTGAATATAAGATAAAAAGCCAGTGTTTTGGTGTGTTTTTAATTCAATTATATATTTCTCAATCTTATCTACAAAAGTAAGTCATAAAAGCGTTTATAATTTATTAAATATAATATAATATGAAATTAACGCAAAAATACTTTTCATTTGCATTCAATTCATTGTAATTACAGTGAAAGCTCGATAGATTGCTATGAATTGCCATAGACTTAGCATTACCCATGTTATTCCTATGCCATAGACTTAGCATTACCCATAGACTTATCATTGCCATAGACTTAGCATTGCCCATGTTATTCCTATGTCATAGACTTAGCATTACCCATGTTATCCCTATGCCATAGACTTAACATTACCCATAGACTTAGCATTGCCCACGTTATTCTTATGCCATA